ACATGCCAGCATACCCCATACATGCCAACATACCCCACACATGCCAACATACCCCATGCATGCCAACATACCCCACACACATGCCAGCATACCCCACACACATGCCAGCATACCCCACACACACATGCCAACATACCCCACACATGCCAACATACCCCACACATGCCAGCATACCCCATACATGCCAACATACCCCACACATGCCAACATACCCCATGCATGCCAACATACCCCACACACATGCCAGCATACCCCACACACATGCCAGCATACCCCACACACACATGCCAACATACCCCACACATGCCAACATACCCCACACACATGCCAACATACCCCACACACATGCCAACATACCCCACACATGCCAACATACCCCACACACATGCCAACATACCCCACACACATGCCAACATACCCCACACACATGCCAACATACCCCACACATGCCAACATACCCCATGCATGCCAACATACCCCACACACATGCCAGCATACCCCACACACATGCCAACATACCCCACACAGGCCACCCAACCCCACACACATGCCAACATACCCCACACACATGCCAACATACCCCACGCACATGCCAACATACCCCATACACATGCCAACATACCCCACATACATGCCAACATACCCACACACATGCCAACATACCCCACACACATGCCAACATACCCCACACACATGCCAACATACCCCACACACATGCCAACATACCCCACACACATGCCAACATACCCCACACACATGCCAACATACCCCACACACATGCCAACATACCCCACACACATGCCAACATACCCCACACACATGCCAACATACCCCACACACATGCCAACATACCCCACACACATGCCAACATACCCCACACACATGCCAACATACCCCACACACATGCCAACATACCCCACACACATGCCAACATACCCCACACACACACATGCCAACATTCCCCACACATGCCAACATACCCCACACACATGCCAACATACCCCACACACACATGCCAACATACCCCACACACACATGCCAACATACCCCACACATGCCAACATACCCCACACATGCCAACATAACCCACACATGCCAACATACCACACACACATGCCAACATACCCCACACACATGCCAACATACCCCACACACATGCCAACATACCCCACACACATGCCAACACACCCCACACACATGCCAACATACCCCACACACATGCCAACATACCCCACACACATGCCAACATACCCCACACACATGCCAGCATACCCCACACATGCCAACATACCCCACACATGCCAACAAACCCCACACACATGCCAACATACCCCACACACATGCCAGCATACCCCACACACATGCCAGCATACCCCACACATGCCAACATACCCCACACACATGCCAACATACCCCACACATGCCAACATACCCCACACACATGCCAACATACCCCACACACATGCCAACATACCCCACACATGCCAACATACCCCACACACATGCCAGCATACCCCACACACATGCCAACATACCCAACACATACAACACACATAAACGCAAAACAAAAAACATAACCCTACACAAAGAAACACCAAGGCGTGCAAACTACCCTCAGAGTATACATACACACATACACCAAAACATACATATATGCGTGTACAGATACATGTATACCCATCAACACCTGCTGTAATGCTTGTGGGACTCTCACAAACAATCACTAAGTCCTCAGAAAGAAAGCCAGCTTAGCTTGCAAACAAACTCCCTTTGTTTGGAAGCTTCCGTCCCACACAGATATGGGACGGACTATCCACCTCCCCCCCCCCCCTCTATGCCCAACCACTTGGGCTTGACGGTAGAGCGCCGGTCAGGCTTCATGCAGGTCGGCGTTCAATCCCCGACCGTCCAAGTGGTTGGACACTATTCCTTCCCCCCCGTCCCATCCCAAATCCTTATCCTGACCCCTTTCAAGTGCTATATATAGTCGTAATGGCTTGGCGCTTTCCCTTGATAATTCCCTTCCTTCCCCCCTCCCCCCCCCTCTCCCTTAACACACACTGTATTTCTTCTGTAACTTGCCTTCACCTCCACCCCTTCCCTATCTACCTTTACTAAAACTAGATATAACATATCATAGTAGCATCAAGTAGATCAAAAATAAAAAAAAACATGAGTAGAATAGTTCAAGAAACAGTAGATAGTCACCATGGAGTAGATAAGAGTGGCATAGAGATGTGTAGGGAAGCATTGGAAGGTAGAGAAAGATAGGGAAGGACATTGGAAGGTAAGGAAAAGGAATTGCAGGGCAAGGGGAAAGATAGGGAAAGGTACTGGGGAGCAGGGAAACGCACAGAAGGGCATTGGGAAGCAGGGAAAGATACATAAGGTCATTTGAGAGCAAGGAAAGGTAGGGAAGAGCATTGAAGAACAGAAGAAAGTGGGGAAGGGCATTTGGGTAGCAGGGGGGAAGGTAGAGAAAGGTATAGGAGGACAGCCAAAGGTAGGGCTGGGCCTTGGAGGCCAAACAAAGGTTCAGGAAGGCGCTTGAGAGTAGGAAAAAGTAGAGAAAATCAAGGAAGGGATACAAAGGTAGATTTAGAAAAATAAATAAGAAATATTCAGGACAGAGAAGAGGGGGAAGCAAATTAGTAACGGGGAGAGGTTGCTGCGGCCAGGAGGGAAAGGGAAAGGAGGAAGCAGCGGAACAGGGAACTGAGAATACGGTTTGGAAGATAGAGAAAGAGATGAACACAGAACGGGAGGACGAAGAAGGGCAATGGATGGCAGGAAAATGCAGAGAACGGCAGAGGAATGCAGTATATGGCAGAGGAATGCAGTAGAAGGCAGAGGAATGCAGTAGAAGGCAGAGGAATGCAGTATAAGGCAGAGGAATGCAGTATAAGGCAGAGGAATGCAGTATAAGGCAGAGGAATGCAGTATAAGGCAGAGGAATGCAGTATAAGGCAGGGGAATGCAGTATAAGGCAGGGGAATGCAGTAGAAGGTAAACGATGGAAAAAGAAGACAGAAGATGGCACCAGAGGGCAGAAGAGGACAGAAGAATGCAAAGGAGGACAGTAGAAGGCAGAGGAGGAGGAGGAGGAGGAGGAGGAGAGAGAGGAGGCAATAGAGGACAGGAGAAGGACAGGAGAAGGACAGGAGAGGGGCCAATAAGGATGGGGGAACAAGACAAAAAATGCCGCCAGTTTGGCCCGCGTGTTCTCCGTGACCTCGAGACGATATGGGTGATGGAGGGAATGCAATTTCCTGTGAGAGGGTACTGGGACCCGAAGACCAGGTGTGGCAGCTTTGGCATCTTATAGCATGTGTTGTGTCGCTATGTTGCGCTATGAGGTGTTATGTGATGGTGTGTTAGTATGCGCATATCCTTTGTTATGGTTGGGTATGTTGCGCTATGAGGTGTTGGTATGTTAGTATGCGCATATCCTTTGTTATGGTTGGGTATGTTGCGCTATGAGGTGTTATGTGATGGTGTGTTAGTATGCGCATATCCTTTGTTATGGTTGGGTATGTTGCGCTATGAGGTGTTATGTGATGGTGTGTTAGTATGCGCATATCCTTTGTTATGGTTGGGTATGTGATGGTATGTTGCGTTATTATGGTTGGGGGTATGCTATGTGAAGTATGTTGGTTATTTATGGCATGTTGTGTTATGGTGCTTACCTACTAGTGCTAACCTATCAGCGACTACGGGGGAGAGCGAGATCTAGCTCTTTAGCCCTGCCTCCTGCCTGTTTATACCCGGCCCGATGATTAACGATTCAAATCACATTTTTCAGAAAGTTGTGAGTTGAATTGACATCAACAACCCTCTTCTTTCATCGCACTATCCACTTGTGTTGCGGCATGCTGTGTTGCGGGAGTGGGCAGTGTTATGCCCGGCTCCGCTGTGTTGCTGTGGGGTACTGTTGTCAAGGTATGCTGTATTGCAAGGCCTGGCAACACTCGCTTCCATCTCCCAAGTGACCCATGGTGTGGCGGTGGCTTTGTCCTTCGTGCGTGTTGCTTTTGGGCAATTTTGTGCAACTTTAGTTTTCCTCAACTTTCTGCGGCGTTTCGTTGTTGCTTTGTCCAGCTTTTCGTGTTGCAAGGAACAATTTAAGTGAGACTTTCTAGGGCAAGTCTCACTTAAATTTGTAGGGGGAATGGTCTGAGGTACAGGGCGGACATAGGCTGGTCGGGGTAAGCCTAAGTTAAATGCTTTAAGAAATATAGCCTGTAACTCCTCTGTGCCATTCACATGAAGTCGCAAATAAAATTGGGGGATATTTTTTCCGTACAGTGTTGAAAAGTAGAAAGTAATTTTCATGATTTACATTATTTATCTCTCTCTTTCTCTCTCTCTCTCTCTCTCTCTCTCTCTCTCTCTCTCTCTCTCTCTCTCTCTCTCTCTCTCTCTCTCTCTCTCTCTCTCTCTCTCTCTCTCTCTCTCATTATTTTCTTTCATTACATACCATCAACAGCAAAATGAATTGTAAACAAATCATATACATTATTTTAACACCAAATACCCATAGAATGTATACCTATGTATACATTCCAATCTATATACATAATTTCAAATGCAGATCTGATAAGAGCCCATCAGGTCCATGACACTATACACCGGTTGCCCGACTGTTGAGAGGCGGGACAAAAGAGTCGAAGCTCAACCCCCAGCAAGCACAAACAGGCGAAAACGATTAAGTGAGAGTGAGAGTGAGTGAGAGAGAGAGAGAGAGAGAGAGAGAGAGAGAGAGAGAGAGAGAGAGAGTGAGAGTGAGAGTGAGAGTGAGAGTGAGAGTGAGAGTGAGTGTGAGTGTGAGTGTGAGTGTGAGTGTGAGTGTGAGTGTGTGTGTGTGTGTGTGTGTGTGTGTGTGTGTGTGTGTGTGTGTGTGTGTCTATTCAGACACAGATCAGCTCCTTTCATAAACTGCATTACACCCAAAGACGTATCACACATCAACCAGTCCATATTAACAATAATTTATTTCACAGATACGACACTTGCGGGGACGAGCAGCAGCAGCAGCAGCGATGACAGCCAGCAGGTGACTGTGGACAGCCTGACGGTACAAGGACCAGTGGAACACAGTGTCGCCCCCACCAGACGAAAGCGTTCCGTGTTCCACCTGTTCAGCATGATGACCTGTGCCACCACTTGCAACCCGCTCAGCTACAAGGGCTACGGCTGCTACTGTGGCTTCCTTGGCTCCGGAGTGGTCGTCGATGGTATCGACAAGTGAGTACAAATGACTATCAGCGGGTTTTCTTCCTATTGGGGAGTGTTGTACATGCTGCTATGGCGGTGTGTCCACTCACAGGATAAAGTGGCGCTGCCTAATAAACTCGCCTCTAGGGGGCAAAATTTAACAATTTAAACTGACTTGGTATTACATAATAACGTGTAATGTCTATGAAAACAATTCTCTGACGCAGGATGCCGGGAATCGAACCAGCGTCCTCGACTTTGCATTGCTGCTATGACACGGAGCCCATTTGAAACCACCACCAAACTTGGAATTAAATCATCATACACGAAATTCGAGATAAATTAACTCATATTTCAATTAAAAGAAACATTCAATACAGTATACGTAATTTACGTTTATCCTGGCTTTTATACATGAGTTAATTAATTTATCTGAATACCAAACATAAAAAGCATACTTTATGTGTAATGAATGTTTGACTTCATTTAAATATGAGTTATTTGATATTATATGTATCAACATATTATGGTATGTTAGGCTGCTTCTCGTCACCAGTAAGATGAACACAGAACTGAAGTGTTCATCTTACCGCCCACCTTAATCTTCCTGTGAACCACTCCACTGTTCAATATAGCAACATCCGCTTAATTTTAATTATTTATTTTTATTTATATATATACAAGAAGGTACATAGGGTTGATGAGAGTACATAGCACTGATGTTTTTACATTCTTGTAAAGCCTCTAACACGCATAACGTTTCGAGAAGGTCCTATAATCTAACAGATTTTGTTCTAATTTAGATTTTTGTCTAATTTTGTCCAACGTTCGTAAAACATCAATTAATATCTTCCCCTAATACTCGTTATCTTGCCGGTAACTCAGGTATCCAGTGCCGCTTCTTCTCACCTTTTCATACGAATAATTTTCCCTCTTCAACTCTAAAAGTATCTATGTCTATGACTATGTCTATGTCTTACTCTAACCTTGATGCACCAAGTTGTGATGTTTTAGTTCAAGATCTGCATCAGCTCCAATTACTAAACGTTATTACTTATTTATAGGACTAAAGTATACTTAGTGATTAATCAGAAATATATTGTGGTGACTTTATTGAAGCTCCGAAGGTTGATAGAGGCCTTGAGAGCCAACACCAGACCTGACCAACCTTCCCTTCACATTTCACTGTACCATTGCAGGTGTTGCAAGGGGCACGACTGGTGCTACGAGCACTCCAGATGCCAAGGCTTCGACCACTACTTCGCGCCTTACAAGTGGAAGTGCAATGGAGGGAAGCCATATTGTGGTGAGTTGCCAACTGACTATAATTCAAATTCAAATTCAAATTCAAATGCTTATTCGGGTAAAGTACATACATACAAGGTGTGATACAAGCATTGATGGATTTATAGACATTGTTAGTACATACAATGCCTAAAGCCTCTATCACGCAAAGCGTTTCGGGCAGGAAAACATTAAAGACTAAAACTTAATAGACCTACCTATATGTAAATGTATTGTTCCGCGCTAAGATAGAATCTGGGCCCATGTCAGAATCTTCCGCAGAATGCAAATAATCTATCCTTAACCTAATTCACTAACAGTTATAATCGTTATAATTACAGTATTTTGCGCTGCTCATTGTAACCGACGATATCAAGACTGACCTAATTCCAACTTGAGTAAAATAACTATACAATTCTCTGTAATTCACGTGGCCTTTGATGTTTCATAGAAAATGTATCATATTAAGTGGGACACTCACATGTACTGAGAATATATTTATTTAATTTGTTCAAATAGTCATTCATATTGTGAAATTGTCTTCTTATGCATAAATATTTATTCCTCACATTTGAATCACTGCTGCTACTAAACCAGGAATAAAAGATATTTAAGAAGTAAGCTTATCCTAAAATTTCTAGTTTTGATTAATACCAATCAAGACATCTGTAAATATCTCCTCAGATATTTAAATAGATAGGTCTTTATAAAGATAAATAGGCATTTATAAAGATATATAGGCATTTATAAAGATAGATAGGTCTTTATAAAGATAGATAGGTCTTTATAAAGATAGATAGGTCTTTATAAAGATAGATAGGTCTTTATAAAGATAGATAGGTCTTTATAAAGATAGATAGGTCTTTATAAAGATAGATAGGTCTTTATAAAGATAGATAGGTCTTTATAAAGATAGATAGGTCTTTATAAAGATAGATAGGTCTTTATAAAGATAGATAGGTCTTTATAAACAAAAATCATACGTTAGACTTCATTACAGGTTTGTGGACATAGAAACTGTTGATGTAAAATGACGAAGAGAACAACACACGACAAATTGAAATTGACGATCAACAGGAACACCACAACACCTGACCTGGACTACTCAACACCTGACCTGGACTACTCAACACCTGACCTGGACTACTCAACACCTGACCTGGACTACTCAACACCTGACCTGGACTACTCAACACCTGACCTGGACTACTCAACACCTGACCTGGACTACTCAACACCTGACCTGGACTACTCAACACCTGACCTGGACTACTCAACACCTGACCTGGACTACTCAACACCTGACCTGGACTCTACAACACCTGACCAGGACTCAACACCTGACCTGGACTCAACACCTGACCTGGACTCAACACCTGACCTGGACTCAACACCTGACCTGGACTCAACACCTGACCAGGACTCAACACCTGACCAGGACTCCACAACACCTGACATAGACAACAACGACTAACACGGCACCAGGTGATATTGTTGGTTTAGATCCAACTTCCCGGAACGAAAAGTTGCAAGTAGCACGGGCTATAGTGAGCCCGTAGTGGACTTACCTGGCACAGGAGCGGGGCAGTGGGGTGCCACTTAAGTGTAAATATATGTATATAGCTGTACAGACAGACAGACGCTCCTCGTGAGTCGTACTTGAGCGACGTTACTATATCACTAGTCTCGAGTCCCAGGGTCGAGGGGGACGTATATACTCCCCAGGGCCGAGGGGGGGACGTATATACTCCCCAGGGTCGAGGGGGGACGTATATACTCCCCAGGGTCGAGGGGGGACGTATATACTCCCCAGGGTCGAGGGGGGACGTATATACTCCCCAGGGTCGAGGGGGGACGTATATACTCCCCAGGGCCGAGGGGGGGACGTATATACTCCCCAGGGTCGAGGGGGGACGTATATACTCCCCAGGGTCGAGGGGGGGGGGAGGACGTATATACTCCCCAGGGTCGAGGGGGGGGACCAGGGTCGAGGGGGGACGTATATACTCCCCAGGGTCGAGGGGGGACGTATATACTCCCCAGGGCCGAGGGGGGACGTATATACTCCCCAGGGCCGAGAGGTCAAACCATACTCGATGTTGATGGAACGTTACACCAACATTTTCAATGTCGATTCCTTGTTATATCAATATTTTCAACGTTGCTTCACTGTTGGATCAAGGTGTATAATGTTGACTCCTTGCAGCATCAGCGCCATTTGCGTGGGAGGTTGCTAATGCTGTCGGTTTAAAGTCCTTCAAGACTTTAAGAGAGCTATTAAGGCTTCCACAACAGTTTACCTACCAGCCAACCAGTAAACTTTACCACTGAACAATGTTCAAGACTAAGTAAACGAAAATGGGAAAACACTTTCCGTTTAGAAGTGAAACTAAATTATAATATGAATATAGTGACACATTACCTTTTAATTTAAAAGTTTAAAAACATAATAATAATAATAATAATAATAATAATAATAATAATAATAATAATAATAATAATAATAATAATACACAGAAATCACATTATCGTGATATATATATAAATGAGAAATCCACTAGGACTATAGGTGAGCACGAACCTACGACTCAGACATTGCCAGTCGCATACCCTACCACTACACCAACGTTGATTTGTTGAAAATCATACAACCGGATTCTACTGAAATCACAGGAAGTCTGGGGGGGGGGGGCTGCTCAAGCCAGTCCCAGTGTTTGGACTTTGGACCCACAAGCACAAGAGTGCTTGTGGGTCATACGTAAAAAAAAAAACTAGTGAAAGACTAGTGTCTGTGGGTCTAGTGGTAGAGGACGCGATTGGCAGTGTCAGGGTCGTAAGTTCGAGCCCACCTAGAGTCTTAGTGGATTTACTCAATGATAATAATAATGATGATGATAATAATAATTTCTGTTGCTTCGGGGAGAGGAAACTTGTATTTAAGCTTGAATACTTAAGGGGGTGGACCTTGAAACTTAGTTGACCCTTAGGTCAACCTAAGGTCAAGACCCTTAGGTAAGAACCTTAGGTCAACTGCTGACCTTTCCCAGGGGGGCAATCTGGAACAATTGCCCAACTCCCGGATACCAATTGTACTGATAGGTGAACAGCTAAATCAAGTGAAAGATAACGTGCCCAACGGTTTCTGTCCTGCGCGGGGATTGAACCCGAGTTCTTTGACTGTGAGCCGAGAACTTAGACCACTGTGATATAGTTTACCTGTTTTTACCTGAGCAGCTGTAAACGTTCATTTAATCATACTGAATTTTCTGTATTCGAAATTAGGCCTAGAGAAAGGTTAGTTTTCGCGGTCACCTTGTTTCTCGGGTCCTCAACCAAATTAATGGAGCAAAATGTAAATTTTGTTAACGCTGCACCATGCTGCGAGTTCGCAGGATTCGGGCGTTCCCGAATCCCAGAATCTGCGAGCGCCAGCCATTCTCTCCCCCCCCCCTCCCATCCCAAATCCTTATCTTGATCCCTTCCAAGTGCTATATATAGTCGTAATGGCTTGGCGCTTTCTGACGGGAGACATCTCCCGTCACGCAGGGTGCAGTCGCACCTCCACAGATCTCCAGTATCATCTATTGATGCTGGTAATGGCTCAAAAGGGCCACCATTTACGGGCTATTCATGCCCGTGCCACCTCTTGGGTGGCTTAATCTTTATCAATCAATCAATCGACGCTTTCCCCACCACACATTAGAGGGTTATCTTGGCAGGTTCTCCACCAGCCTCTACATGTTAGTGACCGTAGTGTTGGTAGGCTTGAGGACCTCATTTCCATGACATCTTCGCTTGACATAAATTGATGCTGATTGACATATTTACCAATATTATCCACAGTGGTGTTAACCTCAAAATTTGCTCGGGTTGCAGCCTCGTGGCCCAGCGTATTGTATTTGGGATTGGTCATTAGGCTGTATCTTGGGTAGAAATATTTTTTTAAACACTATTTTGCCTGCTAAGTCAAGTTTGCCTATGCAGGCGATGAGTCACAATAAGGTGGCTAAAGTATGTTGACCAGACCACACACTATAAGGTGATGGTTCGACGACGTTTCGGTCCGTCCTGGACCATTCTCAAGTCGATTCTCAATCGACTTGAGAATGGTCCAGGACGGACCGAAACGTCGTCGTCCCTTCACCTTCTAGTGTGTGGTCTGGTCAACAAGTTTGCCCATTTTTGTGGTGTGAAGTTATTAACGCTGGACAATTCTCTGTCCACAAATATTTCCACGTGTCATGACCGTCTGTGCTTCTACGTTACAGTGACGACGAGGGGCGAGGGGGGCGCGGTGACCAGCTGCGGCCACCAGCTGTGCGAGTGTGACCGGGAGTTCGTGGAGTGCCTGAAACAGTACCCGTGTCCCCGGACCAAGGCCATGTGTATGACCTCGCCCTGGAGGTACTACCAGAACCTCTTCATGGGCATGTCTTGTGGCACCCACCACCACTCGCATGCTACCGCCCACGTACAGTCTTCTCCCCTGCACTCACCATCTACCCCCGTCTACCCGACATCTACTCTTCCTCCTCCTCCTCCTTCCCCAAGCCAGCACGTTAACGAAAGCTCTTAAGCTCTTTAGGATTCTCCCGGTGACTGTCAGCTGGTTTTAAAAGCTGGTCCTTTTGACAAGTTTAATAAACGTTCTTTGGCCATTTCTATAAACGAAATAACAAGGAGTATATTGGTTTATATATTGTGCCAATACAATGCATAAAGAGAACCTTTATAATATTCTCATAGATCCTCTAAGCTCTTGGACACTTCTGAAGTCCTCACTGGATAACCCAGGAGCTCAGAGGAAACTCTATATGCATTTACAAATGTTCTATGAGCTTTTAGAGTTGCTTTAGGTGTGAAATGTGCCGGGGCTCTCCCGGGAGGAATACCTAAAGCTGTAATCACTGTGGGACTCCCATGGCATTACCTTCAACTTCTAGATTCTTCATAGATGTAAATAGAATAATTTGTATCCCCTTTCCAACTGACTGTACAGCCTTTTACAGTAGTAAACAAGAGAGTAGACTGTATGTATAGTAGCCATAGGTTTTTCGTAGTGATTCTGTATTGCTTCAATGGACTCTTAGAGTGCCATTCCCACCGCGAGACTTTTAAACTGGCCAGAGTAACTCCTCCTCTGTGAATGAATGTGTTGAATGACTCGAGAGAAAGACTTCGTTTCCGTAGTTACTGACACTGCACGTGTGGCCACTGCGAATATGTAGTTAACTGAAATCACCCGTATTTTTTACACACAGAAATCACAATAACGTGATTCATCAATGAACAAATCCACAAGGGCCGTGACGAGGATTCGAACCTACGTCACTAAGCATCTCAGACGCTGACTCTTTTAACCTTGTCGTAGCTCAGTCGATTAAGGCAGCGTCTGGGATGCTCACATACGTAGGTTCGAATCCTCGTCACGGCCCTTGTGGATTTGTTCATTGACCTGTATTTTTGTCTGTAGTGTTGTCAAGTGCATGACAAGTGTAGGAAGTGGGGCGAGTTATTGCCCTTGAGAGCACCTAAATGTAAACTAAGGAGAGCATGACCCAAATGTCAAATATCTAAACTTTCTTTAAGCAACTTAAACTACATAAAGCTATAAATTGTTTACCAAACTCGCGTCGAATTGAACGTTGACTTTAGAAACTAATAAAAAATCACCCCAGTAAGGATTCACTAGTGACAGTTGTCATTTATGTCAATGTTGTATCTGCTAAACTAAGATGCACTTAGTGATAGATCTTTTTGCACGATTCTTGAATAAGATGTTACTAATTTTGATTTTATCGTTTCCACATTCTCAGAAATACAATATTCTTCGGTAAATTGGGTCGGACGGCGTCGATAATGCTTCAGACTCTCTTATAGCGAGAGAGAGGCCCTGTAATAGCGAGAAATGTACTTTAATACCAACCAGACGCGGAGCTCTGTACTCCACCCCACGCCCAATCAAGGACAATGACCTGCCTCACTTCCTCTCGCTCCTCGGCGAAAGTGACCTGAGAATTACGCTTCATTTTCCTAGTAACCCGATTTAAGAATAAAGTCAGTGAAGGTGACTCTTCCCTTAAGGGATTGTTTCTCACGTTCGCTACGACCTGTCGATTACATTAAAGATGAAACGCTCTTGATTCATGTTCACGTCGATGTGAAGGTGATGCATCTTGCGAGAAGACTTATGCTCAATTATACAGGATAATTGAACAAGAAACGTCTAGAGTCCGTGAACACTGTTGGTTCACTGACAGGAACTCCGGTTGCATGACATGACAGGACAGCTTGGTCTCATGGAAACACAGAACCTGAACCTTACGTTTCCAGGAAAGACAGAACCTGGACTTTACTGCACCACACAACTGATTCATCACCACCATGGCAAACACTTCACCTCGTTCTCTCAACTTTACACTCCGTAAAAATTGCAACCGTTGCATAACCCAAAACGTATAAACCCAAGCAACCCACCTAACCTAGCGAAGCTGATGCATAGAAAACGTCAATATTACTGTGCTTTAATTGCTGCTAATGCGTCGCATTTTTAAAGGATTTGTCCATTGCGTAAAAATGGCGACGTTTAAGGGGAGAGAACGGGTTGAGGGACGCTCCTCAGACAGTGAGACCCCTTAGAATCCCCCCAGCCCCCCCCTAAGCCCCCCAGCCCTGAGACCCTAAGAATTCCCCCAGCCCTCCAGTGAGATCCTCAGAATCCCCTCAACCCTCCAGTGAGGCCCTCAGAATCCCCCCCAGCCCTCTAGTGAGACCCTTAGAATCTCCCCCAGCCCTCCAGTGAGGCCCTCAAGAATCCCCCCAGCCCTTCAGTGAGACCCTCAGAATCCCCCCAGCCCTCCAGTGAGGCCCTCAGAATCCCCCCAGCCCTCTAGTGAGACCCTTAGAATCCCCCCAACCCTCCAGTGAGACCCTCAGAATCCCCCCCAGCCCTCCAGTGAGACCCTCAGAATCCCCCAGCCCTCCAGTGAGACCCTCAGAATCCCCCCAGCCATCTAGCGAGACCCTTAGAATCCCCCCAGCCCTCTAGTGAGACCCTTAGAATCCCCCCAACCCTCCAGTGAGACCCTCAGAATCCCCCCAGCCCTCCAGTGAGACCCTCAGAATCCCCCCAGCCCTCCGGTGAGACCCTCAGAATCCCCCCAGCCATCCGGTGAGACCCTCAGAATCCCCCCAACCCCCAGCCCTCCAGTGAGACCCTCAGAATCCCCCCAGCCCTCCAGTGAGACCCTCAGAATCCCCCCAGCCCTCCAGTGAGACCCTCAGAATCCCCCCAGCCCTCCAGTGAGAAAGCATGTATTGACAATACCTTCATACCATTCCGATTCCTTCTAGAGGGGTCATAACCTTACATGTCTCAGGGCGGGCGCCTTCTAGATGTGTCATGACCTTACAATTAAGTCTCTATAGACTCAACAAACACTACAAATGAATATTAATTCCAACTTTCTTCACATAAAGGGTATGTAGAAAGCAGACATTGATTTTCAATTAAAAAAATGTACCCAATGTGTTGCAAATTCCCACCGCCTCTCACATGTAAACAAACCACTTGATAGTTAATCCGATAAACACAGCACTTACGTACAACCAAACATCAGCCCTGGATTATGTGTGTGTGTTCAGTGTCCGGATCCAACACTAAGGCCTAGACTACAGTCGGCTGTGTTTGGATTACTTATGAAGCCTCATATAACTTTCTGGCCAATCAGAACCCATACATAAACAAAAAAAATCGAAGAAATCCTAAACTACTTCGATTGCCATTCTACTCCCCACTGAACTGGCTTAAACACTTACCTCAGCTGATTGTCGGAACTGGACATTATTCGATTTCTTGCAGTTTTCTTCCTAGGGGTCGTTACGTGAATGTTTTAAGTGTGAATGGTTCCCCCCGGGTTTAATATGGTCTCGCAGATCACTAGGTGTTTCAACACACACACACCATATAAACATGTCGTAGTCCATCCTCGTGAATGATGCTCGCCTACACATCCACCACACGACGCTGAGCATCAAAGAAAACGTTGAAGATTTATAATGTCGGGGTGACTATAGTCATTTTGAGAGCCATTGGTACAAACGCCAGGGAACGATTGAGTTTGTGATTGATTGAAAGTGAGACATATATACAGACACACAGAGATAAATATAGAAAACAATTAGTGAGTGTACAAAACAGTGAGTGTATGTGTTTGTTAGGTAACGAGATCAGAGTTACCTGAATCGTACCAATATTCTTGATGATATATTTAATTGTCTGCTAACAGGGATACCAAAAAGACCTTCCCTGCAGGTAGCAAGCAAGTTACGCAGGGGCAGCCAAGAGTACAAACATATGGCTTCTTCTCCACCTTTTATTATTTTCTTCAGTTCCCATTCGGTCCCTGCCTTATTCACACACCAGGAAGCGATACTGGGCATTATAAATTATTGTCATTATTATTGTAATTATATATATATATATATATATATATATATATATATATATATATATATATATATATATATATATATATATATATATATATATATATATAAACTATTCTTTGTATATATTTTAGGGAGAAAACACTCCCGGTGTATATAAAAAGTAAACCTGTTTAAAAATGGCCATTTTTAAGTACAGTATACACAATGTACATATATATATATATATATATATCCCTTATAAAAAAACATTCATTGCCTGTATACTAGATGGGTGTGGTGTTGAAATTAATTTATGACCTATCAACCTCTGGAAGGTTTTTAAGGCCACCACAATCAAAAGCTTAGTGACCAACCAGCAAGAATACTTTAATTTCTGAGCGTAGTTCACAAGTTAAGTAAACTCTTTGTGTATATTCAGCGAAAAGCAGAATATATATATATACCTGTTGGTGTATATAAATATACATGTGATCAAGATGGCATCTTTAAAAGTATATATTCAGATACTTGTGTTGTTTAATCAAGCTATTAGTGTATATCCAAATGTATATATCCAGACCAGATTATAGCCATAATTTTCAGTGCAATAAACACTAATTTAATTATTTTGAATTATTATTCTTTTATTCCCCATCTTCTCTCCTGTACAAACTAGTGGTAACGAAAATGGTGTCATCAAAAATGGTTAAAAAGTGAACAGCATAATTTTACCAGAGTTTACCCACGAGGCTTTAAGAGTGTGAAAAGAAAACAGGACGATCAGAGTAACAGTTTATCGATATATATATATAAGATTCAGAGAATGAAGATGTGTGTGTGTGTGTGTGTGTGTGTGTGTGTGTGTGTGTGTGTGTGTGTGTGTGTGTGTGTGTGTAAAGAAAATATGACATGAAAACAGAATTGTAATAAATTCATTTGTTAAATAGCAGATATTTTCACACATACATGTATACATAATTATTGTATACAGCCATTTATTTATTTTTGATGTATTTATATATACAAGAGTTCTTACATTCCTGTACAGCCACTAGCACGTTTCGGGTAAATCCTTAATCCAATATTCCCCGAAATACGACTCACTAAATCGTTTAGCAACCAGGTACACATTTCACTGATGGGTTAAACAGAGGCTACAGTTAAGGATTTGCGCCCAGTTAATCCTCCCTGGCCAGGATACGAACCCAGGACAAAGTGCTCGTGAAACGCCAGGCGAGTGCCTTACCAACCTCGAGGACTCTTTGTGTGCACAACTGCTGCACACATACATATATATACATAACTACTGCACACACATATACACAACTGCTGCACACATACACATGCGCCCATACCTGCTACATATACGAGTTATATCTATTAATATCCAGCCCGTCCTCTCGAGTTGTTCACAACGGACAGAAAAATGATGTACTAGATTGTCCGAGTCTAACCTAATCAAGGACCCACGCATAGAAAACGTGAACTTCTGTAAGCAGCTGTGATTTATAGTACATTCTATTGTATCCGTTGGGAATTTTCATGTCAAAATGCATTGTAATATTCGAGAGGACAAGTTGCATTCTACAAATTTTCAACACAAATGTTACTATATAAATTAGAAACCCCCTTAAATGCTGCTGGTATCAATAGTTGATAGACTATTGACCCCCATTGACACGAAAGCATATTATATAATTATGACAACACAGGTGACAGTTCTTATAATGGGATTCACATAAGTCACACTACTGATAACAGGACCCACATATGCCTCACTACTGATAACAGGACCCAAATATGCCTCACGACTGATAACAGGTTCTGTATGTCACACAATGACAGATTGAGAACTATTGGTTATCTCTAATATAGAGGGAAAGGCAGATTTAGCTGCAAATCTAAATTCTGTTCTTCCTCCACGAAATAAGTTACATGTTATAGTATCCTTTATGTATACAATCGAAATAGTTTTCATTATTCACATTTCTATTAAAAAAATGCCAATCGCATTGTAACCTATCCAAGTATAGGACACTATTTCTACTAAACAAATGAGTCCGTAATTAAATAATAATAATAAGCGGCCTTGTACGAGAAAAAATATGTATGAGATCAGACTGATCCCAATTTAAGGTGATCTAAAACTCTAAGAAGATGTCATCTAAGAAGTCTGGCCACGTCGCAGAGCCTTCATCGTCGTCGTCCTCCTCGCTGGAGTCATCAGTAAGGTGCTTGTTGCTTTGGGTCACCTCATCTCCTGAACCTTCCAAAGCCTCTTTGGAGGTCGAGGTGGGAGTCGGAGGATGGGAAGAGGAGGATGGAGAGAGAGTTGGTGGGGAAGAGGAGGGTGGAGAGAGAGTTGGTGGGGAAGAGGAGGATGGAGAGGGCGTCGGTGGGGAGGATGAAGAGAGACTCGCCCCCTGCTGGATGGTGGAGGCGGTGATGATAGTTGGGTCCTGCGTGGGCAGGAAGATGTCCGGATACGTGACCTGGCTGCCTCCTGCAACCACCATCACCTGCGCCCCCTCCCTCAGGACGCACACGGGGCTCTTCCAGTCCTTGCAGTCCTCGTCCGTCAGGTAGTAATAGTATTTGGGCGACATGGCAGCGCATCTGTGATGTACACGTTCATTATCCTCTACGTAATACTTCCATATGTCATCCTAAATGCTATTATACTTCATCCCAAAACTCTCAAGCGTCTCATCTTGTCTTAATCTCCTTACCTGCCGTTCTGATCCTTTTCCACACTGGGGCTGCGGACTTGGCAGAAAGGCGCCTGGGTGTAGGTGTTGATTTTGCGACCAAGTACTGAGGTGGTTGTCGATCTGTGGGTGAGAAGCGCGTGAGTGACACTAAGAGGACAATAAGAGAGACAAATGCCAACGGCTACAAGGGTCATCAATCACAAACTTTAAGCGATTATTACCTGGGGTAAAGAGATAGCAGGTTACATTTGCGGCTGAGAAAACACAGACGATGATGATAACTAGACTACATATTGAAAATCGGGCAGACTTGCATATGGGTGGCAGAATCCCCAGAGTAGTTCAGAGAAGAAATTTACATATTTGGACTTGAAGTTTGACTCTTCAATGACAATGAAAAGCCACGTGCTTAACCTAGCCCACAAGGCATCTAGGAAACTTATAGCTTTTAGCACATCTCACATTTTCTTGACAATAAGGACTACCAAACCTTAAATGAAGCCTAAATTCACTCCTATCTTGAGTATGCATCCCTCACCTGGATTACTTGCTCTCCATCGTTCATCAGAATTTTGGACAAAGTGGAGAAGTGCTTGGACAAAGTGGAGAAGTGCTTGGACAAAGCATCTTTAGTGCTTGACCAAATCTGGTGGGAATGATCTGAACCTCAGGTCCTACAACACCGTCGTGACATTGATGGACTTACTGCTATTTACAAGGCCAACATTCTCGAAATTTCCCCCCTGACCCAACTCCGTGGACAACCAGTACTTGGCACTCGTAACACTAGGCTCTCAACCTTCAACAGTCTCATGCTGGAAGAGCCTTTCTTAAGAACATCACTCCATCAGCGGTCATTCATTCCCAGGCTGACTCGCATCTGGAACTTGTTCGCTCAACAGGTTGATACGCGGGAGATCAGGTCAACTGACCACATAAAGGCTCTGGCACACAGTTGGTTACCAGTTCATCCTGTTCCTTATGTAAATGTTACCAAGATTTAAATAAAGTTTATTCCTAATGATTCTAATAAAGTAAATGAGCCTCTAGGGGGCAGGCTTCAGATGAGCTGAGGTAGGATAACAGCTCTTACTTTCAGTTTCAATAGGTATTTGTTCTTTATATGATAGTTATATGATAGATTCTGTTCCTTATATAGAGAGATAGATTCAAATAATCTCATCAAGACTAGGGTCCATTAGGGCTAAGAGAGAGAGGGAAAGAGAGAGAGAGAGAGAGAGAGAGAGAGAGAGAGAGAGAGAGAGAGAGAGAGAGAGAGAGAGAGAGAGAGAGAGAGAGAGAGAGAGAGAGAGAGAGAGAGAGAGAGAGAGAGAGATTTACGGAACGACAAATCAAGCCGCCACACACATAGCCACCAGGACAGACAACACGAAATTCTAAATGCTTCGATTTTAACCCACCTGATGGCCCAGTAGGGGGTGCCTATGGGCATGGGGGTGCCGTCCATCCACACCCACCTGTGGAGCCCCTCCACCGTCTCGCGCCCACCCACCCACAGCTCCACGCCCAGCTCTGTGAGGCAAGGGGAAATGTCTTAGTAAAGCGTTGATAAGGAAAGGTAAACATTTATTAATATTCACCAACTCAGGAGAAATTGTTCTAAACTGTTTAACAAGTTTAGAGAAAATGTTTTGGTGTGTAAATGTGGAACAGGAAACATTTCAGATGAATGTTTATTTAAAAAAAAACAAGAAATCTTTTCATGTTGTGGTAATTAAATGATCAGAAAAAGGTTTATATGAAACTTTTCCAAACATTATAAATATGCCCAGGAAAATGTTTCCACATATATATATATATATATATATATATATATATATATATATATATATATATATATATATATATATATATATATATGTCATACCTAGTAGCCAGAACGCACTTCTCGGCCTACTATGCAAGGCCCGATTTGCCTAATAGGCCGAGTGATTTTATTTTTTTTCAAATTTTTTTGGTCAATTAGTTTATTTGAATTAATATTATTATATTATATTAGGAACAATAATTATTGACTTAGGTATGTAAGTTTAGGTTAGGTTAAGGTAGGTTAGGTTAGGTTAGGTTAGGTAGGGTAGATTAGGTTCGGTCATATATCTACGTTAGTTTTAACTGGAATAAAAAAAAAATTAACTCAGACATAATAAAATGGATAGCTCTATAATTTCATAAGAAAAAATAGAAAAATATATAAATTCAGGAAAACTTGGCTTATTAGGCAAATCGGGCATTGCATAGTAGGCCAAGTACTGCGTTCTGGTTACTAGGCTACCTAACCTAACCTAACCTATAAAGATAGGTTAGGTTAGGTTAGGTAGGGTTGGTTAGCTTCGGTCATATATCAACGTTAATTTTAACTCCAATAAAAAAAATTGACCTCATACATAATACTTTATCATTTCATAAGAAAAAATTAGAGAAAATATATTAATTCAGGAAAACTTGGCTTATTAGGCAAATCGGGCCTTGCATAGTATAGTGCGTTCTGGCTACTAGGTACGACATATATATATATATATATATATATATATATATATATATATATATATATATATATATATATATATATATATATATATATATGTGTGTGTGTGTGTGTGTGTGCGCGCGCGCGCGCGCGCTGAGATGATACCTCATTGTTGGTGAACACTTCCTTTTTTATCCCATTCCAGAGGATTTCAAGTTGTTTTGTTGTTATAGATTCAGCTACTCGGAACAAGTTCCAAGTAGCACGGGCTATGGTGAACCCGTGAGGATTTCAAGTTCACCTCCTGGAGACAAACCTACAGTCGGTCAGTCGGTGTTAAATGTAACTATATACTATAAAAACCAGGGTCCAGATTCACGAAAGCACTTACGCAAGCACTTACGAACGTGTACATCTTTCCTCAATCTTTGACGGCTTTGGTTACATTTATTAAACAGTTCACAAGCATGAAAACTTCCCAATTAACTGTTGTTATTGTTATAAACAGCCTCCTGGTGCTTCGGAGCTCATTAACTGTTTAATAATTGGAAACAAAGCCGCCAAAGATTGAGAAAAGATGTACAGGTTCGTAAATGCCTGCGTAAGTACTTTGGTGAATCTGGTCCCAGGCACTCATACTCTCACTGCTCGGAGGAACCGATGCTTACCAGCAGCCTGGAGATATTCGACCAGATCAGTGTATTGTTGAACGTCACTGAAGGTGAGAAGGTCGCCGTAAATACCATGACAAAACTCCCTGGCGGTAGTCCACGGGACCTGTAGAACGAGACATTGTATGTTGACCAGACCACACACTAGAAGGTGAAGGGACGACAACGTTTCGGTCCGTCCTGGACCATTCTCAAGTCTTTGAGAACTTGAGAATGGTCCAGGATGGGCCGAAACGTCGTCGTCCCTTCACCTTCTAGTGTGTGGTCAACATATTTTAGCCACGTTATTGTGCCTCATCGCCTGCAAGACATTGTATTTGCATGGAATACAGATTCAATTTCAGGAAAATGTAGGGGCTACGGAGTACACAATCCTATAAGCCTATAATAAACATCTAAAAACGGAAGTTAGGATTAGCAGGAGAAAGCCTGCGATATATATCATAGAAGTGATATGATTATATATCTCTTGGAAGGGTTGTTTTTGTTTTAGATTCAGCTACTAGGAACAAGAATTCCCAAGCAGCACGGGATATGGTAAGCCCGTCGTACTCTCCTGATAAGGAGATGTGCACTGCTTGGAAGGGGTACGAGAACAGGATATGAGCAAACAGAACGGGATATTTGAACGGAGTGAGGGAACGGTACCCAACCACTTGAACCTTCGGGGATCGAACCCATACCCAGTCAGAAGCAAGGACGTCGCTCTACCGACCAGTCCAAGAGGACAGACATCTTGAAACGAGTGATAATTTCATAATACATTGCTATGCCAATGTCTATGACTTGAAAACTCTCTTGCAATGTAATGCATATTGACAATTAATTCATTCCCCACTATGGCTCAAATTGATGCAAGATCCGTGTTATCTGTGTTTATCTATGATAACTATGTCATGTCATGGCTTTCTAAACAAGGAAATACCCAGGGTAAGGATGCTCGCCTCATCAATCAAGGATTAGTATATCTCATAATTAAAAAAAATTATGTTTAAATACACAAAAAGCGTAACATATTTAACAAATAGAAAGAGATTACTCCTACGAACATGAAGTATTGCTGTTCTCAATGCACTTGAAGATATCTGGCGCTCAGCGCAACACACCACTTCAAACGTTCTTTTCAAGTGGAGATTGCTAGGCCCAGCTCGGACCATACATAAGTCGACGCGGCAACAGAGCCGATTTCATTTCAAATTACGTCCATTTTTGGCCATAGCGCGCATACGAGCGAAAAGCGACATTATTTCTAAAAGGGCGGGTTGCAACGAGTGATGAATGAAGTAATACTTCGAGCATATAATGACACTAAGTCACCTGTAGTGATTATTCACCCTGAGGAGCCAAGGAGATGGTGAATGAATTACTAACACTGAATGTTTACGCAACACGTGTTCTATTCAGTAGTTTCAGGCTGGCGGTTGAATAAAGTTCCAGATCTAATCAGTGATGGTGATGAGATCAAATACATTACCGATACTGAATAACAGGAACACTTGTGTGACGACAACAATGATCAAAAGATAAGGAGTTCCTTTAATTGAAATATATTTACTGACCTGTTTTATTATTGTCGTCAATATATATTTTTTGGTCTAGTATATGTGAGGAGTCGATGATTAGTATTTGCCCCTTTGAGATCAACACTAGCAAATTATTTGTGCGTCTTAGTAAAATGTCTGTTCTCTAGCAAGGATGTGACCTGGAGTCATAAGCATACGACTTGTGACCCACAGTAACCTGATAAAGTTATGACCTGGTGTGAACTATGATGGGACACAAGTCGTAGCTTGAAGCTATTGTAGCCTAGCACAGTCCACTGGGGTTCACAGAGCCCAGTGGACTGTGGCAAGGACAGATCCCCGGCAAGGACTAACTCCTTGCTTATGGGATCTGATCCTCTTACCTCCATACCTCGATAGTGTAGTAATTAAACAGTTTACGAGAACCAAAGCGTTACACGGTAGTCCTGATCCGATGGAAATTATTGTTAAAGTTGCACAGGCCTTCTTGAACCATGGTACGTTCTCTGAGAGACCAGACGTCTTCACAGAAAACTACACCGCTCTAAAGGATAGACCAAAGGAAAATAGTACAGGTTATCCCATCAACCCAGGGCCACCTGCGAAAGAGTGTATTATCCAATGAAGCTTTTTGCATGGGTCTTAACACTATGGTCATCTCCGTCGACAGGATAGGATTAAAGCACTTCGATAAGCTCCTCCGTTATCGTGCAATATAAACTGATGAAAACATGAGATTGGAACAAGGGAGCGTAGAAAAGGGTAAGTCTTTGATGTGTAGGCGGGGCTTGATTGGTGCCCCTGTCGTCGGTGACGGCAATCATGGTTAATAGGTCAACAGCTGGGTTAAGCCCTGGCACTACTTTTAACTCAATATACTCCTCTCACTCTCTATTCTTCTCTTATCCCCACTTCAGGCCTCACCCCTTGGGGTTTCTGTCCAGTATTTATTGTTCATGAGTCTCTCGCAGGACCAGAATTCCAATCACCACCTTCTAAGGCCCACAAGCAATCCAGCTGGGATGACCCCATTGTATGTAACCAATATTGTAACCTATTTTGTATAATGCAGTTTTAAAATAAAATGACAAAGTGTAAGAATATATCTCTGTGAATCTGGACACCAGAGCGGCGCTGACTCGGGTTATCAAAGGTCAGCGTAACTCACCCTGGCGATGGTGAAGAAGGCGAGACAGCGGTGACCGACCCGTGTATACAGCATGGGGCAGTGAGGACTGGCGCCGAGGGTGCTGGCGTTGTATACATACACAGGCACTGCCGCTAGGGGCTCTTCTCCTGCAGCTGCAGCAGTACCGTGGTCGTGTTTGTGAGTCTGACTTGGTTTGACGTCACTGCTATCTTGATCACTACCGCGGAGGGGGCCATGTTGGGCGGTGTAGTTCTGAATGGGGTGGTCGGTATAGGTCTGAATGGGGTGGTTGCTGTGGTTCTGGCTGGTGTGGTTGGTGAGGTTGACGTTGGTGATGTACGTCGGAAAAAACAAGCTACCGAAGTAGCTTCTGGACCCTGGGATGAGGGCTCCTGTAAGGGAGAAAAATTATAATTTAGAGGGAGATCGATGATAGTGAAACACGTCTGGAAACGCTCCGTGATAGTCTCCCTTGCCGGGAACAAAAAGGCTATTAAGCTTAGCCATATCTCCCTAAGTCAACGACTAACCTTTCCTTGGATACATCCCACAACAGTCAACTAACTCCCAGATACCTATTACCTGCCAGGCGAACCGAGGCATCGGGTATAAGGAAGCGCATCCAACCGTTTCCCTCTGTCCGGGAACCGAACCCAGAACCAATCGTTTGTGAGACGAATATTCAACCAGAGACCAGCCCTCCAGTGAGACCCTCAGAACCACCCCCAGCCCTCCAGTGAGACCCTTAGAATCCCCCCAGCACTTCAGTGAGAAAGCCCACGACATAAGACAAGGACCTGGTCCATAGAACAGGACAAGTCTTGGGCATCAAGTCAAGTTTGAATCAAGTCTGCAAACCCTGAGTTGAAAATTGACGACAGTGGACCAAGGGAAAGCGAGAAAACTCCTATGGTGGGAACTGAAAAACTCTATAAAGAGCTGTGGACCCTTATAGAGTATGGAGGTCTACTGACCATAGACACACACGTAGCTTATTTATTAAGGATTAATGTTTAAACCGTCAGGATTTTTAAGACCGCACTCCACCGTGTATCTAATCTTCAAGTGTATTTTGATTACTTTAATCTTTATCTGTCATAGGAATCTCTCGGTATATATGACCTGAAAAAGTAGATTACACTTGCTAGTGTGTCGACCGCTTCTGGGACGTTGCTATTGGTATGTAAATAAATATTACTAAAGGCTGTTTGTCTCATGCTAAATTTGTCTAAAAAAAACTAGAACACGTTATAAAGTTTGATATGAACTTAGAGAACATTAGCAAATTTAAATTGACTAAACCACATATCAGAAAATGGAGAAACGACAACGTTTCGGTCCATCCTGGACCGTTATCAAGTGGTGTGGTGAAGTATGGTTTGGTCGTCATATCTTCAGCCTCGTTATCGTGATGAGCCATCGTTAGCAACTTTGTGTGACAGACAGGAGATGCCAATCAATGCCAGAGTCCAGTATCAAGCCATCCTCAGCAATAAGAACTCTATGACCCGACTAGGGTTCGAACCTGCATAATCAGGGCTTACTGATTATGCATATTATGGAGCCTGCATACTACTGGTGTGTACACTGATGTACACACTAGTAATACCACTTTACTAGCTATTCCTTATAAAGATTTGTTAGTCCTGGAGCTCATTACATGAGCATTATTACATTACATTACATGAGCTAATATACTATAAAAAAATTAACTTTGAAGCTTTTTAAACAGGAACTTGTTTTGTGAAGCCAAAAACAGCCACACGCTCATTTGGCTTCTGACCTGTGACCTACAAAAGCTAGCAGACTTCAGCGTTTTGACTCCAAAAAATTTCTCCAGACCTGAAAGCGGTGCCAAAATCATCATACCCCCCCCCCCCCTAGACTATACCATGTTGGCAACAATGTGAAGAGCAGCGGAGCAACACTTAAGGTTCCTCGTCAATCTAGCAGATGAAAGTAAGAAACTCACTTGTATTAGGGTGACGCAGGAGCCAAATGGACGTGTTGTGAGGAGATATGAGGACTGAAACCGGTTACAGTGTAGCGTTTCTGACTCGTTTCAACGTGGTCCCGGGGAAGGGGGGCTTCGAGTCCCAGGATCAAACGGGACTCGAACCGGGACTGTGAGTTTTGAGTATACATAGTCAAGCGAATGCAGGAAAGAACTGGTAGTTTATACATCTCATCACACTCGCGTGCCATTGAAGCTTCTATCTCCGTTGTTATTCACTTTCCTCTCTGCCTCTGATGATGCTAAGGTGTAATTTACCGAAACAAGTCAGGTATATTGAAAGTGTGTAATGAACTTCGAAGGGTTAATTTTTTCGTTGACCTTCCTAAATGAGGAAAAAACGCAGGAGATGTGACTTATAATTTAGAGTGCCATAGACATATGAGCCAATCGAGCCAGTCGATGATATATCGGTATATGAGTGAGGTCCCCCTGCAAAAAAAGATATGTAAGCAACCTGGTTTATCTTCCTGCATGTTGCTGTAGTCTTGCGACATCAACCACGGCACACTACCGGGCACATGATCCCCTCATCTCTCTCTCTCTCTAAACACACACACACACACACACACACACACACACACACACACACACACACACACACACACACACACACACACACACACACAGATAAGCTTTGACAGAGACGATCGAATTTTTGAAAGACAATGTGGGGTGCTTATCGTCAATAGCAGCGATAGGAGAGATAGTGTATCTTGAAGCTCACCGTCTTTAAGAAAGCCGACTTCGTTCATTCACGATGAAAGCATCGATGTCGTCCATAATATATGAGTTTTTCCACTGTAACTGATGTAGACCCCAGCCACACACCTGCTACACCCCCCCCCCTTCCCCCTCTAATAAAACAGGCATTCATATGCACACACACACACACACGTGTGTGTGTGTGTGTGTGTGTGGTGGTGGGTGGCATGAGTTACGGGGAAATGAGTTACAGGCATGAGTTACGAGGAAAGGCTGCGGGAAATGCACCTTACGACACTGGAAGACAGAAGAGTAAGGAGAGACATGATCACAACCTACAAAATCCTCAGGGGAATCGACCGGGTAAACAAGGACAAACTATTCAACACTGATGGGACGCGAACAAGGGGACACAGGTGGAAACTGATTACTCACATGAGCCACAGAGACGTTAGAAGGAACTTTTTCAGTGTCAGAGTAGTTAACGGATGGAATGCATTAGGCAGTGATGTGGTGGAGGCTGACTCCATACACAGTTTCAAATGTAGATATGATAGAGCCCGGTAGGCTCATGAATCTGTACACCTGTTGATTGACAGTTGAGAGGCGGGACCAAAGAGCCAAAGTTCAACCCCCGCAAGTTCAAATAGGTGAGTACAAATAGGTGAGTACACACACACACAAATAATCCAATACTACAGAACAATATGGTTGGCAAGTATAGGCCTACCCTGGTAAGGTCTTGGATCAATTAATCAGGAAAACCGCTAATGGAACACAGAATAAACAAATGTTGCGACAAATCTTCAATAAAGGCTTAATAAAGGCTTACTAAAGGGAAAGTTATGTCTGACAAACTTGATAGAGTTCTACGGCAAGAAAGAAGAAGGCTGCGCGTTAAGCTTGATCAACAAGCTGGAGCATGACGCTCACCAGGCCTCTTATTGAACGCACTATATTACTTACGCAATCGAAGCCGGCGTAAAAATTGTCGCGGTTTATGGAAATTAAAAAACACAGCATTAACGACATGGAAGAAAATGCAGAATAGAACCTGTGAAGAGCAGAGGTGCCATGGGCACAATCAGAGAACACTGTATGAACATCAGAGGTTCCCGGTTGTTCAACGTCCTACCAGCGAGCATAAGAAATATTACAGGAACAACCGTGAACATCTTCAAGAGGAAACTAGATTGTTTCCTTTAAGGAGTGCCGGACCAACCGGGCTGTGGTGGGTATGTGGGCCTGCGGGCCGCTCCAAGCAACAGCCTGGTGGACCAAACTCTCACAAGTCAAGTCTGGCCTCGGGCAGGACTTGGGGAGTAGAACAACTCCCAGAACCCCATCAACCAGGTATCATTAATGACGCTTCACGGGGACTAATGAGGATACAATCAGGTAGCATAGGTAGATACCCTAAGTTCTGATACTTGCAGGCGATGAGTCACAATAACGTGGCTAAAGTATCGACTTGAGAATGGTCCAGGACGGACCGAAACGTCGTCGTCCCTTCACCTTCTAGTGTGTGGTCTGATACTTTTGGTTAGGGGTAAACCACTTTATTTTTTACGAAGAGAAAATCAAGAGAACGGGCTCGAGTGAGAGAATACCTAACCGGCATGAAACAGAGCTGTAGTAAGAGTGGCGGGTAGAAATACACGATCTGAGGGATCTGTACTAGAACCCTGAGTCTTTCTCATGTCAACAATACAGCTGAGGAAGGACGCTCCTCGTTGTGTACCGATGATACATGACCCAGACGAATTAGAACAGAATATGATTGCAGTATGCTCCAAGTGGACCTGGACCACCTAGGGAAATGGCTGCTCGACTTTAATCCAAGCAAATGCAAAGTTATCTAATTTGACACAGGAATGAAGAGGCTACAGGGACAGTATAAGACAGTATAAGAAAGGCAACTGATGAGTCAGAAAAGGAAAAAAAAAGATGTATTAGTAGACATAACCCAAAGACAGTCACCAGAGAAACAATCTACACGACAACATCAGCGGTGAACGCAAACTGGCACACATTCGTGCGGTCCAACCACTGGGCCTGGTTGGTACAGCGACGGCCTCGTTCTTGCAAGTAGGTGTTAGAATTAGATTTAGATTTAGATTTTTAATTCAGGTTAAGGTACATGCATTGAGTTACATACATAATGTTGGATTTAAAGATAGAGATAATACATACAATACCTAAAGCCACTAGTACGCATAGCGTTTCGGGCAAGTTCGATTCGGGTGTTCGATTCCTGATGGTTCGGGTGTTCGATTCCTGATGGTTCGGGTGTTCGATTCCTGATGGTTCGGGTGTTCGATTCCTGATGGTTCGGGTGTTCGATTCCTGATGGTTCGGGTGTTCGATTCCTGATGGTTCGGGTGTTCGATTCCTGATGGTTCGGGTGTTCGATTCCTGATGGTTCGGGTGTTCGATTCCTGATGGTCGGGGGGTTCGTTACCTGAGGGTTCGGGTGTTCGATTCCTGATGGTTCGGGTGTTCGATTCCTGATGGTTCGGGTGTTCAATTTCTGATGGCCCAAGTAGTTGGGGGGGGGAGCATTCCTTCCCTAAATCCCATCCCTGATCCTTGTCCTCATACTCCTTCCAAGTCCTATATAATCGTACTGCCTTAGTGCCGGATAATTGCCCCTCCTCCAGGGGTAATTAGGCTCCATTACCCCTCGTGTAGCCTTCAGGCTCCTGAAGGAAACATTGAAAATGGCGCCCCAGGGAAGAGTCCCCACATGGAAGAGCACAAAGCAAACCTGGAGAAATTTCAGAGATTTTCCTGAAGACGCGTTCCGAAACTCACGAATACTGAGCTACGAAGAATACCCGAGAGAGTGAGACCTCACCAAGCAGGAAGAGAGAATCGTAAGAGGCGACATGGACGATTCTTACAGGCAATGGTACAGTGGATTGTACTGAAAAGTTTAGCATGGGATGAATGTTGGAGCTATAAGAAGCCAGTCTTTTATATATATATATATATATATATATATATATATATATATATATATATATATATATATATATATGACAGTGTCAGACCAAGAAGGAAGAATTGAAACAGGAATTTCCTTAAGTACTGTACTTTCGTATATAATAATGCATCTTCAAAAGGATGTAATCATCAGAAGGATGTAATCATTCTTCTGAAGATTAATTACGAAAGTACTTAAGGAAATTCCTGTTTCAATTCTTCCTCCGTGGCCTGACACGGTCACATTTTTCATCACGTGTTAATTTTCGTGATTTTATATACACCTTTGACCAATATATTACACGCAATACTCACCGAGGAGAAGAATGAGTGGATAGATATTCATGACTCAGGGAAGTAGCACGACGGAAAAGTGCTTCGGTAGACCAACTTATGTGTAGTTTACTTGTAGTCGGTTTCGAGAATTCTACTATCCAAAGCCGCCCTGTGGTCAACTTCTGTAGGGAGTTGCTTGTGACAGTCCCTAGAACATGTGTATATCAAGCTTAGGGTGACCAAAGCTTCTGTAGACCAGTGTTTCTGTAATTCAGTATACCAGGGCTTCGGTAAACCAGAAGTCAGAACCCTAGCAGAGCCACCGATGGGTAGTCTCCAGCAACAGCAGGCAGCAGCAGCAGCAGGCAGCAGCAGCAGCAGCAGGCAGCAGCAGGACCTCCTTCAACAGACGATACCTCAAGACTTCAAGAGACGAGATCTCATAGACTCAAACAGCAGGCAAGTTATTCCTGAAGCCTTCAGGACCTTCCGACCACTCTGGCCAAGACGTGACATAAACACTACGCTGATCTTACCATCTCGGGTCCCCGCCTGTCTTATATTATCAGAGATAACAGGCATACCATGCATCAGGGGAAAATAAAACAAGGCTGACTGGTCGTGTTGCTAAGAGTCTTGGACGTACATGTTTCCGCTCCAGAACGACCCTTACGATCAAGGAACATAATACCATCATCTTTAACACTATTATCAGTCTGGATCTTGAGATGTTCAAGTGCCTCCACGATTGAACTCACAATGGACGTCTAGAGGCACTTGGACCAAACTTAAATTAAAAAGTGCTTCGTATATTTTTTTTGTAATTGAGTGTACTACTGATCTAATTATCATTATATACTTGCATGTGGGATATTGGGTCACAGTGTTTCATGTTTCCTATGGAGCAATTGTACACTTTTGTTTAAGTTACTACTTGCAGGCGATGAGTCACAATAACGTGGCTAAAGTATGTTGACCAGACCACACACTAGAAGGTGAAGGGACGACGACGTTTCGGTCCGTCCTGGACCATTCACAATCGACTTGAGAATGGTCCAGGGCGGACCGAAACGTCGTCGTTCCTTCACCTTCTAGTGTGTGGTCTGGTCAACAAGTTACTACTTCGTATTTTGTACTAATCTTTGCCCAAATTTCCCCCTGCAGTTTTCAAAATACGAGTCCTATCGGAAATATGTTCATTAAGAGTTATTTCTGAGCAGAATTAAGGGGGATTGCACGTATTTAGAGTTTTAAATTACGACTTTTAATAGAGATAATATGTCAATTAGTGAAAACGGCGATGATTCAGATTGCTCAAATCCCTCTGTGGTTTTCAAAATATCGGAAATATCGGATATCTAACTCTTGAGAGGTATTTTTGTGCGAATTTTGGCTCATTGCACATATTTGGAATTTGAAATTACGACTTTTTATACCGAAAATATGCCATTTAGTGAAAACGGTTAGTTTTAAAGGGTTGCAATAATAACCTTGGGTTGTAAAGTTACGAAGCTTCTAGTCTGTATAATAAATGTAAACAAAGCCTCATTGATTAAGGAAAGATCGCATGTGGGTTTCTGACGATTATTAGAGCGTTGTTATTATAGGCAATAGCACATGAACTAATATCCTGAAAAATAATTTTGACATTTCAGCTCGATTTACAAAATTAGTTTTTTAAACGACCGCGTGATGGGAGTAATATCCAAGGGACTGGGGCAGGAGGCTGGGACTGTTTAGGATAATATGTGGCTCTTGCTTGAGGTACATGTAGCTTGTGTCAAGTGTTTGTAATGCCTCGTGTTATTATTGACAAACTTAGGTACACGCAGCAATGTACTGTTGTCCCCTGTTCTATTTGAAGGATTACAGAGTATAATAATTCAGAAACAGCTATGAGTTCATCTAATTACCTCATCTCACAAGATGATAAGTCGTATATTGAATCAGGAGAAAGCATGAGTTGAAAGTCTAGTATTGACTTTCAACTCAAGAAAGTCTCATGCTTATACTAGCAAACTCTGAGTAGAGAAGAAGAATATCTTCCAATATTCGTCAGTGCATGAAATAGTTACCGAGCTCAAAGTACCTCAAACTATTTGGTCTACAATCATTGATAACAGGGCATTCATAAATATTGTGTAGGAGTGTGGCCTAGCTCTTGTTCACATAATTTACCACTGAATGTGAACAACCCGTCCTCTTTAAAATAACGTCGCTTTTCGCTGGTATGCGCCCTATGGCCAAAAATGGACGTAATTTGAAATTAAATCGGCTCACGAAAGTGGCGTACTGTCCCGTTTTCTGTTTGAGTCGTCTGGCTTACTCGGTTACGTTAGGAGAGGAAATCTTTAATTAACGGTTTTCCTGACGTTTTGAAATCTTAGGAGAATTTCCTGCCCTCCTAACCTACCAGGGCACCCTTAACTTGCTGTTGTAGAAAAAAAATCCAAAATTTATTTGCAATTTTTTTTTAATTTTCAGATTACGTCCATTTTCCGCCATACGGGTAAACGGCTAAATTCAGACGTAATTTGTAAGAGTACCCCCAGTCGTTATCAGCAGACTGCCGTAAGCATCGTGTCGATGACAACACAACCGGCGTTGAGAGTAGCTGAATTAAGAGTGACGACGAAACTAGATGTATGCAGCCTATCGAACACACGAGAGGCATTGTGTAGAGATGTGTCACTGTATTCTAACAGCCCGTCCTCCTAAGATTTCCCAACGTTAATAAACTGGCGTACTAAAGTGATGAAGATTGATGAAGATTAAGCCACTCAAGAGGTGGCACGGGCATGAATAGCCCGTAAGTGGTGGCCCTTTTGAGCCATTGCCAGTATCAAGAGCTGATACTGGAGATCTGTGGAGGCGCAACTGCACCCAGCGTGACGGGAGATGTCTCCCGGACCAAATGGTGACCAAATGGTCTGGCGTACTAAAGTGCCCTTATCCTAACCTACCAGAGGACCCAAAAGAGAACGGGACAGTATATCAATTTCACGAGCCTCTTCCATTTTCTAGTACGACGATTTTTGGCCTTAGGTAGAGTATACGTCAAAATACGACGTGCTATGAGGAGGACGGGTTGTTAAGATCCTAATTTGTTGTTCCTGGAAGATAGATCTGAGGGATGGGTGGTTTATTTTTTATTTATTTATTTTTTTACGAATAGTTGTGAGAGTTTCGCCAGCTGTTTGGCTTATCGGCGGCAGTCAACAGTTATCTTTCGACATCACCAAGCTGATAGAACAAAAGCGGATCTACGAGCGCATTCATCATCGTCTTGAGAGTACTGGCGAAGCTAAAATCGTTTCCTGCGGTGTCCAAACTCCTTCTCTTGAATTTTTATTTACAGTAGGTTTTTTTTGTGTTTATTTGTTATGGTGTGATCTTGTGGGTCAGTTTCTGACAGTCATAAATTATACTTTATGATACTCCCCTTTGGTAACAATTTTCCGAGTGGTATTGTGAATCATTATAGACGTGTCCACTTACAGAACGAAAGATCTCGTAGTACTTGTAATACATTATAATGTACACAATTTACAAAGAGTTGTAAAAATTTACTGTATCCAAAATTACCTATGCGAGTAAAATTCTCCATTCTGATGTAATTGAATTGCTGTTGTCGGGTACAGGAAGACTGTACTATCGACGTTCCCCCGGTCAACTAATATATTTACTGCTAGGTGTACAGAGACATCAGGAGAAAGTAAACTTGCTCAACCGTTTCTATCCCCCTTCCCCCTCCCCCCGTCGGAGATCGAACTTGTGGTCCTGCATTGTGAGACGAGGACGTAGGCTACTGTACCACAGGACCCCACACGCAACGTAACACCCCACGCGTGTGGTACTCTGCACCATCGGGCTCACCATAGCCCGTGCTACTTGGAACTTTTTGTTCCAGGTAGCGAATCTTTAACAACAACAACTGCACCATCAGCGACCATACTTGATAGTGTCACCATTAACTCAAGTTCACTACATCGTCACAAATGAAACTTCACCTTACAGTGACACGTAACCCTCGACCTGTAGTTTCACCACATTTGGGTCCTGTATCACAGTAGTCTGCGTCCTCCGCTCACAATCGAGGGGCCCAAGGTTTAATGATCTGGCAAAGCAGAAACAATTGGGAATCATTTCTTCTCACCTGATGCCTCTTTTCACCAAGAAATAAAATAGGTAAAATTCGAGAGTTAGGCAACTGTTGTGGGGTTGCATCCTGGGGAAGATCAGGAGGTCTAAGGAGGACCTCGGTAAACCTAGAACGACAGGCGCCCTGTCTCCCAAGAATGGCAACTATTATTACAAGGTCAAGTTTCAGCACAAGATGTGACACTAACTCCTCCACCTCCAGGTGAGGACGAGGCATGAGGCTCCGTCTCGCCTCGAGCAGCTCCCCTCTCCGCAGAATGTCGCGAAGATCTTCAACTTACTGCTTGTACGGCGCTACCTTCAGCGCCCTCTTGCTCGTGGGCGTCTTGGTCTACCAAGAAGGTATACAGGGCACCAGTCAGAGAGAGAGAGAGAGAGAGAGAGAGAGAGAGTGTGTGTGTGTGTGTGTGTGTGTGTGTGTGTGTGTGTGTGTCACGGGAGTCCAGGAATGTATGGCGTTTTAGGCCTGGTGAGGTACACAGTCCGCTGTAGCAGTGAAGTCGGCTTAAAACCCAGCACGTTTGTGAGTGAATTCTTCCGTTCGCCTAGCAGTAAATAGGTACCTGGGAGTTAGAAGACTGTTGTGGGTTGCATCAACGAGATAAGATTATCCTTTGGCCTAAGTGCCCCTCGATAAGCGAAATAGGTCTCATGTCCCTGACAATGGGAACCAAAGATAATAGATGTGTGTGGTATTCTGTCTTGACCTAAGCCTAGTAGTTTAGTTCATTTATTATGCACCCCATACCCATCTTGTAGGCCGTAATAGAAAGGGTTTCAGAGGTACATAATGGGTTCAGGGACTGAACCCCAAATTTCATTCAGCTAAGTTATAGTTTTGATGATCTAGTTACAAACTTCAATGCACATCATCGCATCAACAATGGGCTCGAGACCGACTATAGTCTCTAAATTAAGCAACTGACATGTGTGGAGAGCTAGTGTCATAAGTGATATGTTTATCCTACACACCGCCCCCCCATCCAGTGGGCAGCGGTGGATAGGTTACAATCACCCGGTTACTATCTACAATTAGCTAACTGGGGATATTTGGCTAAAATTTCTGGTAGCAAATCCTTTTGAATGAAATATTTACACATTTCTTTAACATTTCTTATAAAATTATCTCTGAATTCACGTATCGTTTTGCACCCCATCACATAGTGACGGAGGGTGTGCGAATAATTGTGTTGACACAGTTTACATTTGGTCAGGTCTACATCAGCAGGTAGTGAAAGGGAACTTAAGTTTAGTTTACAATAAACTCTTTAGGTTTACAATAAAGGCGCAGTTTCAACCGGTGATTGTGGGTTAAAAAAGAATTAAATTATATTAAAAATGTCTTGGAGTAGTGATGTGAACAAAAGAAAAGTTTAATTTAAAAAATGTAAGAAAAAAGGCTGAAAAATACGTTAATAGTTCGTTATGTTAAGTGTTTAAGCTAAAGGAGGAGACACGAATACGAGAAATTTCTCTTTTCAAATAATGTCATACTGAACAGGGCATTTCATTGATAATATGCGTATACAATTATATAAAATACGTATACAATTATAAATATCTTAAAAATCCATTTTTAAAACATAAGACTTTAAAACATACTGCTGTTTTTTCCAGATTTAATGACCGTAGTGCATGAATACAGCACCAATCCGAGTCCTATCCCAAATTGTTCCGCTGACAAGCACTTAGAACCGTGTATACCAGCGGTGGACGTTTTCCCGCCAGAGCTGGGCGCCCAGGAGCAGCTGGGCGCCGTGGAGGGGCTGGGCGCCGTGGAGGGGCTGGGCGCCGTGGAGGGGCTGGGCGCCGTAGAGGGGCTGGTCAAGCTGGATGTGGAGGAGGAGGAAAAGCCACAGGGTACGCAAAAAATAATGTGGGATCCAGGATTTAATGGCATCCCTCAAGACGATCCTGATCTCATCGCTTACATTCGCGAGTTCCTTCTTGAACCGCCCGCTGGCCACTATAACCTGGATGAACCCTACTTAACCGACTTCTCTGAATTTGGACAGTCTATTAAAGTAGACCAAATACTTCATAAGATGGTGAGTAAACCCATCTTCTTAAATGGGGAAAGAACTGGCACTCCCAGACTGGTTGCTCCCAGTATCTATAGGACGATCTGCGTATCAATAGGAACTCTTTAACAGGTTCAGTAATAATTTAGGTTGATGTCATTATTAACTAAATGGAAAAAGAAATAAGAATATCAAATGTTCCTACAATCCTATTTTTAAATAATTTCAAAGTTGTATAAATCTTTGAACAAATCGATAAAAAAGGTAAGTTCATTGCTTCAAATTATCAGGTTATGTGCTACCACTTATGGGCTATTGATGCCCGTGCCACCTCTTGGGTGGCTTAATCTTCATCAATCATCAATCAGGTTATGTGAATCCCAAAACTCCGAACAGTCTGTATTCACCTAGTTGTGCTTGCGAGAGGTGAGCTTCTATAGTTAATCCAGGAAATAACAGTCAACGCAGAAAAACAATATAGTTTCCGCGTAACTCTGCAGAGTGGCGGGTTCTTCCTAGAGGCGGGCGCCGCTAACGGGGAGGCGTATAGCAACACACTCTTCGCCGAGCGGGAGCGCGGGTGGAGGGGCGTGCTGGTGGAGCCCGACCCGTATATCTACCAGCAGATGAGGACCAAGGGCCGGAACGCTTACACTATCAACACCTGCCTTGCTCTCAAGCCTACTCCACACATGAGCTACTTCCAGTACGTACTCGGCACATCCGTTATATTTCTCAGGTGTCTACAGAAACGGATAACTTCTGACTCTTGTTGGTCTGCTAAGCGCTTAAGAAACTTTGAGAGTATATACACAGAGAGAGCTAGATACACTTCTTAGTGTGTATACCCCTGTATAGCCCCAGGCACATTCACTATGGGTATAGGAACATGTAAGGGAAATTAAGATTTTATGTAATGAGTTCTCATATGTAAACTACTTAGCTTATAGATAATTGGGGTATCTGTACCCATTATATGTGACTTTAATATGTGACAGCTGGAAAAGATCATCAAGGCAAATGGGTGGGGGGAGACCTTCGACAAGCCGCCGGCTTCCCGTCCTCGTCGAGGCCACTAGTGTTAGTGGCACTCAGGTAAACACAGGTAATCTGTCGTGCCACTCGCCCACAGGATGGGGTAGGAGTCCCATCTGGACTCCTACCCCATCAGGATGGGGTATGAGTCCCTGGATCAACCAGACTAGACTTAACAAAAGCTCTCCACCCTTGTCCCCCCTGACACAGACGAGACGTACTCGACGAGGGACGCCTCACTGACACCGAGACGGAGCTCCAGCTGCAGTGTCTCCCTCTCTACTCCATCCTTCTGGCGCTCAACGTTACCACCGTTGACTACCTCTCGCTAGACCTTGTCGGCTACGAACTCCAGGTGAGGGACTCCAGGTTAAGGTCTCCAGGTGAGGGTCTCCAGGTGAGGGTCTCCAGGTGAGGGTCTCCAGGTGAGGGTTTCCAGGTGAGGGTCTCCAGGTGAGGGTCTCCAGGTGAGGGTTTCCAGGTGAGGGGTCTCCAGGTGAGGGTCTCCAGGTGAGGGTCTCCAGGTGAGGGTTTCCAGGTGAGGGTTTCCAGGTGAGGGGTCTCCAGGTGAGGGACTCCAGGTTAGGAGGGAGGGATTCCAAGTTAGGAGGGAGGGATTCCAGGTTGGGAGGAACTTCAGGTTGGGAGGGACTCCAGCTGAAGGACTCCAGCTGAAGGACTCCAGGTGAGGGAGTCCAGATGGAAATATTGTTGAGTTTTTGTAAACGAAAGAACCGAATCGTGAAAAAAATGGGAACAAAAGTAATCTGAATGAACAGTAACTCTTTGATAAGGTCTTCGAGCAAAGCTTTTTTTGACAAAATAGTTAATGGGCAAAAAGAGATTAAATATATATAAATATAGATCCCACTATTGATTGTATGTTATTAAATATGATCGGAATTGTTATGTTAATGAGTGTAGCTTGAATCTTCTGCATACTTTTTAAATTCTTCTTTACACGGAAAGGAAGCTGAACACTCTTAGGTTAATTTTACACTTTTTAATTGTCATGACGCATTTGGCTAAATTACACTTCGGCATCTTCAGAGGCATTGGGTGAGTGACTACAAATGGGCAAAGATACCTGTATATACTACATTTCTGTGCCGTGAAAAGCGAGGTGATTACCCCTGTCGATGGGACCAAGTAATCTCGTCCTGCATTCTCACTGAGTTCGACTGCTAGCTAGAGAGGGTTGACTGGGCACCAATCCGTTGTTTTAGATTCAGCTCCTCGGAAAAAAAATTCCAAGTAGCACGGGATATAGCGAACCCGTAGTGGAGTTACCTAGCACAGGAGCGAGGCTGTAACTGGCACCAATCCCTAGCTGTTCACCTTTATTCACCCTGCAGTACCTGGGGATCTGCGGCCAGATTCACGAAAGCACTTACGCAAGCACTTACGAACCTGTACATCTTTTCTCAATCTTTGGCTGCTTTGTTTCCAATTATTAAACAGTTAATGAGCTCCGAAGCACCAGGAGGCTGTTTATAATAATAACAACAGTTGAATGGGAAGTTTTCATGCTTGTAAACTGTTTAATAAATGTAACCAAAGCCGTCAAAGATTGAGGAAAGATGTACACGTTCGTAAGTGCTTGCGTAACTGCTTTCGTGAATCTGGCTCCTGGTTGTAAACCAATTGGCGGGTCGTGTTCTAGATACAAACTAGTAGGGCAAGGCTTAACAAGAGCTATTGGAAGGTATAGCTCTAAGCCTTCTAGCAGGACTCCGAAGTCATCTTCTCCTTTACCTGTGTTAACATATATATATATATATATATATATATATATATATATATATATATATATATATATATATATATATATATATATATATATATATATATATATATAACTCAATATTTCCCGATACACGAATGCTTTAACCCGTAAACATACTCCCCCCCAGGTGCTGCAGACTATACCGTGGGACAAGATGAGAGCGATGGTTATCTCGGTCGATTTCTACCACAACAACTTATACCAGTCATACCAGACGATCGAGAACTACATGGTCGCTCAAGGCTACGTCGCCCTCAACAGTGACTCCGACTTTCTCTTCGCACACCCTCAGCTGATGATCGAGACTATCAATAACATCATCACCGGCCGGAGACACTGACTGTAGAGGAGGAAGGGAAGGTCTGAGGCGCTGCAGGAACTCCACAACCTGTGCCAATTAACTTTACACCTCCTATGTAAGCAATGTTGTAACTAGTCCTGTGAATAAAACTGAAATTTAACAAATAAAACGGGTGGTAGGAGACAATATGTCAATCCTAGTGAGGATCCTTCAAGGCTCCCACGGGTGCAGCATAGTCTCTTCTGTCTTCTCCTGTCAGAGTAAAAGAGATAATGTATGTGAATTCATGTGTGTGTGTGTGTGTATATGTATGTATATATGTATATGTACGTATGTGTGTTTGTTTGTATATGTATGTGTATAAAGTATATGTGGAAGCTGATCAGAATTACATTTCACCTTTGTAAATAGGTGACATTAATGACACTATGTAAAAGACACATCGAACACTTTATGTAGGGCATACGTAACTCTGCGTATCTATGCCTGTAGGTTAGATTAGTATTATAAAAGCACTACAATCACCTGTGGTTGATTGTTCAATAAATCCATGAACTATATATTCAACAGATCTCTAACCCTGTCCATGGAGGACAGAAGAAAATGTATATATGCTGGTTAGCATTGTAAATGTGTGGCCACGTCTGAGGTAGAAAATAATATTAATAGTAATAAAAAAGTTTCCTTAATGCATAATATCTTGTAGACATGTGTTATTGAAAATTTTCGAAATGTTTGACCAATAATCTTTCCTATATATAGTATGCTCTTTATTTGGGAAGGTAGTTGAAAAAAAATGCTCTCCAAGTAGTTGTTGAGTAACCTGGTAGTTTCCTCGTGATGGTGCAGTTGAGAGGACGTATATCTATGTATAAGGTGATTGTTCATGAATGAATGAGAGCATATGTTCTGACTCTTACCATACCACTAACGTTGCTTTTTGATAGGGAACAATTTCCTATAGTTACTGCCACGTCTTATTTTTTAACCCGTTTTCTTAATATTTCACGACACACTATAATATATATTATAGTGTGCGTATGTTTATTCATTATTACATTTTTTTTTGGTATGTGTCTACATTGAATACCATTCAGATTTTGCACCTTGTATTCAAATATATAATCACTATTTATTCAGTTTGTCTGAATTTTTATGCACTTTTATTTTTGACTTACAAAACATTTTGTAATATATTCGAACATATTTATTTAATTATGCTCTCTAGGATAATTATTTATGAATGGCATAGCCATTGATTGGCATAGCCTTGTGGGACCCCACTAATGACTGTCATAGCCTTGTGGGACCCCACTAGTGACTGTCATAGCCTTGTGGGACCCACTAGTGACTACCATAGCCTTGTGGGACCCCACTAGTGACTGTCATAGCCTTGTGGGACCCACTAGTGACTACCATAGCCTTGTGGGACCCCACTAGTGACTGTCATAGCCTTGTGGGACCCCACTAATGACTGTTCGGTTCCTGTTGATCCCCACTAGTGACTCTCCAGGCCTCACGACCCTCCATTAATGACTACGGGGGTCAGTACTGACCTAGTAAGGCCAAGGTTCTGGCTTTCAGTAAAGTATAACACATGTCATCACTACATAGCCAGTGTTGACATGCTGAGCGTCACACAGTAACAGTGTGCGACAGTCCCTCAGCACGGACTCTGTGGCGTCAATATCGACGCCCGACCACTCGACGGACGTCAATTATTACCTAATAACTCAAAAATAATTGTCATATGATAAACAAGACCATCCAGATTCTCAAGCCACGTGTTTGAAATAAAGGGAGAGTTTCGGTCTGTCTGCCCTAGACCATTATCATGTAGTGTGTCCGGGAAGGACCGAAAGGTTGCTGCTTGATAGTGGTCCAGGACGGACCGAAAGGTTGCTGCTTGATAGTGGTCCGGGACGGACCGAAACGTTGTTGCTTGATAGTGGTCCAGGACGGACCGAAAAGTTGTCACTTCCGTTACTCTCAGATGTGTGGGATTGGGAGTCTTTTATTTTTAGCCACGTTATTGGGAATTACTGCTTGCAATTCTTCTAATTGAACCCTGAAGCTTGGGCTTCTCCCTTATCTCTACGTCTGAGCCTAAAGCCTTTTCTCAACCAATCACGAAACCTGTAACGTCTTACAACGATCATACCTACATTTTTTTTTATACATTTACTAAGCAGTTGAGAAACATCTCAACTCAAGGTTATTATTATTGCTGTAAACAACCTCATGGCGCTTCGGGGCTCATAAACAGTATTCTTAACAAATGCAAACAAGGCCGTCAAGACTGAGGACAGATGTACAGGTTTCGTGATTGGCGCCAATGCTATAGTGAATTCTTGCCCAGATTTTTAAATTTAAGGATTTGCCTGGTCCCCTTCCCATCCTCTGGAAGCAGAGGGTATATAGTCAACCCAGCTGAGGGTGTTGGGCGCTTACAGTGGGGGCCCGGAGCTGAAGTGACCAGCTGGACCCTGCTTAATGATGCCATGATTAAGGGGCCGTCGCCCCCCTTCCCCGGCTGGGCACGCTGCAGGGGTCCTCTTAGACTTCCTGAATTATTAAGCTGGATCGAGGGATTTGACCCCCAGTGGCTTTTGGGTGAGGGAAGGAAAGGCAGGTGGGCCCCAAGGAGGGCAGGTGGGGCCCCAGGGAGGGCAGGTGGGGCCCCAGGGAGGGCAGGTGGGGCCCCAGGGAGGGCAGGTGGGGCCCCAGGGAGGGCAGGTGGGGCCCCAGGGAGGGCAGGTGGGCCCCCAGGGAGGGCAGGTGGGGCCCCAGGGAGGGCAGGTGGGGCCCCAGGGAGGGCAGGTGGGGAACCAGGGAGGGCAGGTGGGCCCCAGGGAGGGCAGGTGGGCTCCAGGGAGGGCAGGTGGGCCCCAGGGAAGGCAGATGGGCCCCCAGGGAGGGCAGGTGGGCCCCCAGGGAGGGCAGGTGGGGCCCCAGGGAGGGCAGGTGGGGCCCCAGGGAGGGCAGGTGGGGCCCCAGGGAGGGCAGGTGGGGCCCCAGGGAGGGCAGGTGGGCCCCCAGGGAGGGCAGGTGGGGCCCCAGGGAAGGCAGGTGGGGCCCCAGGGAGGGCAGGTGGGGCCCCAGGGAGGGCAGGTGGGCCCCCAGGGAGGGCAGGTGGGCCCCCAGGGAGGGCAGGTGGGCCCCCAGGGAGGGCAGGTGGGGCTCAGGGAGGGCAGGTGGGCCCCAGGGAGGGCAGGTGGGCCCCCAGGGAGGGCAGGTGGGGCCCAGGGAGGGCAGGTGGGGCCCCAGGGAGGGCAGGTGGGGCCCCAGGGAGGGCAGGTGGGCCCCCAGGGAGGGCAGGTGGGCCCCCAGTGAGGGCAGATGGGGCCCCAGGGAGGGCAGGTGGGCCCCAGGGAGGGCAGGTGGGGCCCAGGGAGGGCAGGTGGGGGGAGGGCAGGTGGGGCCCCAGGGAGGGCAGGTGGGGCCCAGGGAGGGCAGGTGGGGCCCCAGGGAGGGCAGGTGGGCCCCAGGGAGGGCAGGTGGGGCCCCAGGGAGGGCAGGTGGGCCCCAGGGAGGGCAGGTGGGCCCCAGGGAGGGCAGGTGGGCCCCAGGGAGGACAGGTGGGCCCCAGGGAGGGCAGGTGGGCCCCAGGGAGGGCAGGTGGGCCCCAGGGAGGGCAGGTGGGGCCCAGGGAGGGCTGTTGGGGTCCAGGGAGGGCAGGTGGGCCCAGGAGTAAAGACCCACTCACGCATACAGACAACAGCAAAAAGCAAAACACACACACACACACACACACACACACAAACAGAAAATAAGAACCACATACAGGACATTCAATTGTTAACGTAACGTGATGAAGATGAAAACATCTTGTTATAAATTTTACTGGTGACATCAACACTTCTTCCAAGAAGCAGATAAATCGCCCCTCCTGCAGACAGGACCTGTGAGAGGGACGCCCCTCCCTCAGACGGGACCTGTAGAGGGACGCCCCTCCCGCAGACAGGACCTGTAGAGGGACGCCCCTCCCGCAGACAGGACCTGGGAGAGGGACGCCCCTCCCGCAGACAGGACCTGTAGAGGGACGCCCCTCCCGCAGACAGGACCTGTAGAGGGACGCCCCTCCCGCAGACAGGACCTGTAGAGGGACGCCCCTCCCGCAGACAGGACCTGTGAGAGGGACGCCCCTCCCGCAGACAGGACCTGTAGAGGGACGCCCCTCCCGCAGACAGGACCTGTAGAGGGACGCCCCTCCCGCAGACACGGACGCAGGGTTGCCCCAGTAACCGGCAGATCCTCCACACACGACGGGAAACATTGACATAAACCTGAAGTGAAGCAATAAATGCAAAGGTCATGGCCCAGTTGTCTGCGTCAGACCAGCCGGCTACACAGCCTGGTAGCCGGTCATTCAACCATCGGCCAGAGAGCCTGCCAGCCAGCTAGGTGGGCTGCCAACCCGCTAAGCAACCGGCCAGTCAAAGAGCCATTATGTCAGCCAGCCAGCTAGGAAACCGGCCTACTAGCCAACCAGCTCCCCAAATAACCAGCCAGCTAACTAGACAAACGGGTAACTAGCTAGACATCCGGTTAATCATCCAGTCAGTTAGGCTGCTATTAAACCAGTCAACTAGGCAGCAAGCCTGCCTCCCAGCCAGTACGATAATCCTCCCGGTAGCTAAACTACCAGTTACTTAGAAAGTTTGAACACCAGGTAATCAAGAGGTCCTGTCAGTTCAGTCAACAATTCCAACGAGTCAGTCAGTCAAGTAAACTAGCCATCCAACTAGGCAGTCAGCATTCTGGCCCAGTCATCACGCAGCCAATTAAGCAGCTTGTCAGCGCAGACTAAATAAAATTGAGAAGAAAACGACTAAAAAAACGAAAGAAAATGAAAACTCGAATGAAGAGGGAGACTTTAAATAATTAAATTGGCCAAGTCTAATAAAGATAGTTATATTAACTAAGTCTGGTGTGAATGCCCAGTCACTGATAACTGAAATACGAAAACGCATAGGCGAACTTTTAAATAAAGTTAAGATTCCTTTGTCCATTTGAGACGTGAAATGGCCGAAAAATGAAATTATGCACTCGCTAAATAACAATAATTCGTTTTGTCGTGGACCGGAAGCCTGCGAATATATATATATATATATATATATATATATATATATATATATATATATATATATATATATATATATATATATATATATATATATATATATATATATATATATATATATATAATATATAATCTCCCTCAACGAATGCCAGTGGAAACAAGCCACTCTTCCTGTCAGGCTCGGTGGCTTGGGTGTCCGCACCGCCACCCAAATTGCTGTCCCAGCCTTCCTGTCTTCCTCCTCAGCATCGGATGACCTGGTTAAGGAAATTTTACCTGACACCCTGAGTGATG